CATTTCTGCTTATGGGATTCGAGATTGTTCGATTATTGCGTAACAGTTTGTTTGTGTGATCTTTTTGAAGATGCACTGGCCTGTACGGATGAAGAAAGGTTCTGTTGGAATTAAGCCCGAGAACCTTTTGCCTGTTGATATTCCTAGCACATGGAAAGCGATGGAAGCACTCCATGATTCGGGCAAGGCACGAGCCATAGGTGTAAGTAATTTCTCCACCAAGAAACTAGCTGATCTCTTGGAGTTAGCTCGTGTTCCTCCCGCAGCTATTCAGGTCGAATGTCATCCATCTTGGCGACAGACGAAGCTACGAGAGTTTTGTAAATCCAAAGGGATTCACCTCACTGTAAGCATTTACTTATTTGACCAAGTTGATTACTTTCTCACTTCAAAAAAGAAGAACTATACGTTTTACATACATTGATTGAATATTATTGCAGGCGTACTCGCCATTGGGTTCTCCAGGAACAACGTGGCTCAAGAGCGATGTTTTGAAGAATCCGATACTGAATATGGCTGCGGAAAAACTTGGAAAGTCTCCTGCTCAAGTTGCGCTTCGCTGGGGACTCCAAATGGGTAACAGTGTACTTCCCAAAAGTACCAATGAAGGAAGAATTAAAGAGAACTTTGATGTTTTCGACTGGTCAATACCCGAGGATTTGTTTACAAAGTTTTCTGAGATTGAACAGGTACTTGCTAAAGCCCACTTTGTTGTTTACATTTCACTACATAAATTTAATTGCTCTGTTTTTCCTCTGCATGGTCTAGAATTGAGAGTTGTGTGTTTGGACTAAATGCAGGCTAGGTTATTGAATGCTCCCTTCTTTGTTCATGAGACATTGAGCCCTTACAAGTCTCTCGAAGAATTATGGGATGGTGAGATATGAAATTAAGCTGATCTATTTTATTTTTTTTTCAATAATGGGAGCTTTCTTTGCCTATCATGTTGAACTTATCAGTTTGTTCATGAATGTTATAGAAAAGAAATGCCACTGAGATAATGTACAATCATATTTGTTTTTTGGTATTTTTAGTTTTAAAACTATTGATCTAATTATACATTTACCTGGTATTTGTTTTATTGGCTTTTCGATTTAAAAATCAATCTCCTCTTGGATCATAAATAAATCATTTGAGATGGTTAGCAAAAAAAAAAATATTTGAGATGGTTAGCAAAAAAATGATCATTTGAGATAGAATTTATTGCGCATAATTTCGTCATCGGCTAAAAACCCAGTTAGTTATTTTTAAAGTCTAAGACATTTCGAAAAGAGAAACTACATCGTAAAGACAAAGAATAAGGAGACATATAACTATATAAATCATTGTTTACTTTTCGGATAGATAATAATTTCTAAAACATGAAGCATTTGATGTATACAGATTTTTAGTTTAAATAAATTTTACACTCAATTAAAAATAAAAATAAAAATTAAAGAGACCCGAGATTTGAAAAAGCCAACATGAACTTAGTTGTTGATTTTTCTTCGATTTACAAAGTCAGAGTGTCTTGATATTTGTTTGTGGTAACGTTATTCGATTGATAAAGAAGATTTTAGCATCTTACAAACAGATCAAATACCTTTTCCTGAACAGAACTCAGATTAAATATATACTTTTACAAGCAGTTCTTTTAATTGTTTACAAAGAGATTCCTTCTAGAATTCTTAGATCTACAATTATGTTTTGTAGTTGAGATATGTGAAAATACATATATATAAACTTTGGTATCTCAAACCAGAATCTACATCAATGACACAGAGCAATTTGCAAACATGCGATTATGTGAAACTTGAGACACATACATACATAGATTATTGACATATGCATGTAACGGAAAATTAACAAAGTAAAAAATCAAAACACACCAAAAAACCAAACAAGTAAAAAAATCCATCACAAAAGAAACTATTCTTCTTCCAAGGAACCCGCGACCGTTGCAAGGATCGCAGTAGCTGCTAGCTCACCGGTTACAGCCAAGAGGGCTCCAAAAAGTCCCTTCTTTTTCTTCTTACCCTTACTTGAACCTCCATTGGGATCCGCCTTTGGAGTATCCGCTTTTGGAGAATCCGGTTTTACGTACGGAAGCTGATGTTGATGTTGGTGCTGATGGCCACCATAAGGATGAGGGTATGATGCATACGGACCCATATGTGGATAAGCATAGGGGATTCCTTGATTATAGTGGTGCGGGCTGGATGGCTGTCCCGCAGGGCCATGCAGGCTTCTCTGCTGTGTTACCGTGGCATCCATAGACGAGGCATGCATTGGAACGTGTGCGCAAAGCGGGTGGGATTCAAAACTGCAGTGGTTGCATTTGTAGAACATACCTTGGATGTAACCTCGGCAAACATAGCACGAGCGTTCGTGCATGTGCGCGGGACCGCTGATCAGACCGAGCTCATGATCGGCCCCGTGGCATGAGTTTCTGAGGCTTTGAGGACAAGTGGCACAATATTCGTGGAGATCATAGTCGCAGTCGCTGCACCGGTAGGTCTTGCTGTTGCCGTACAGTTTGCTACCATCGCACGTGTATGTTCCAACACCGTTGACTTTGGACAATGGATGGTTATGGGAGAAATGGTTAATCGTGTGCTGTTCTGACATATCTCCTGCCGTTTTGGGGTTTGAACTGGACAGAGGTAACAACCAAAAGGCTTTTGATGCTTATTATCAAAAGAAGTATTTGCAAAATATGTAACCAAAAGGTATTGTATTATTGATACAAAATTTATTACTTTAGTTGACTTTGGTGGAGTTGACTGATCAGACGGAAGAAAAGGTCACTTATAATATATACTAGATTCTCACCCGCACTATTTACGGAAACATTCGTTGTATATGATGTAAACTAAACTTGGCTTTCTTATTATATTGGAATATTAATATCAACATAACAATTTTGAATTAGTGGTTTAGCCA